CTTAAAATCAACAATTATTCCATAAACAAAGAAACTCACCTTTGAGCTTGGAGATACGGTAGGAAGAAGAAGAAAAAAGAAAACTCTGGATAATTCTCATTTTCCACGTGGTTCCTTATCTTATAAAAGAAATATAAAAAATCTTACTTGTCAATTGACCATTTTACCCTTTAATTCATTCCATAATTACTAAATAACCTTCATCATATTTCCAATAATTCATTGAACTATTCAATTATCCTACTTTAATCACCAATTTCTAAAACTTTACAATTTGGTCACTAACCCAGTATTGAGGATATCACAATACTCCGGTGCCGGAGGAAAATGAAACCATATCTCTTCATCACCACGTTGTATCCTCTCAGGTAGATCGTTAGTCATGGTCTGAAGAAACAAATGTATCAACATAGCATCTCCACCCGTATGTTGTACTTTCAGCCATGGCCCGAAACAAGTATCCTCAAACAATTTTCTTTGTAGAGGTGTAAGCGTCGACGCAATTTTAGTGGCTAGGCTTAATTTATTCTTTAAGGTCAATGCAACCGAAAAAAAATTCTACAAAAACAATAAACATACCAAGTTAGATATATCAAAAATTACAAATTATACACTATAAACAGACATGATATTAAACAGTGAAAACAAAGCTAAATATGTTTCAAACTAGCACGGTATTCACATGCTGTCATTATTCCATGATAGTTCACAAAATGCATCAAATAATATTCCAGAAGTAAGCACTTATATAAACATTTAAAAGGATAACATATAAGTTTAGTGCAGGTTCAAGGACAACATAAAGAGTAGTAGTTTATTCTTGAAACTTAAATTAGCAACACTGTGAAGTTAGTATTTGTCTTTGTTTTGTCTTTTTGTTAAAGAAATGCAATTCATTCAAGTTTCAATTTGTAGAAGAATAGTTTTTGAAACTTAAATTCGCAACACGAAAATGAAAATTACAACGCCAAAATCGCGTTGCGATTTTCATTTTCGCGTTTCGATTTTGGTGTTGCGATTTTCATTTTCGTGTTGCTAAGTTTCAAAAACTATTCTTCTGCAAATTGAAACTTGAATGAATTGCATTTCTTCAACAAAAAAGACAAAACAAAGACAAATACTAACTTCACAGGGTTAAAGACTAAACAGTTTAGCAGTATTGGCAGCAACCGAATGAATTTACTAAGCAATCTCAGTGAAATGGTTAATCTTTATATATATTGAAATTACTAGTAAATTTATCATCAATATAAGAAAAATATAATAATAATACAAAAATTTCAAAATAAAAATAAGAGATTAAAAAACTAACCCTCGGTGGTTGATTTTTCATTTTTAACCGTGAATGGTTGTGAGGGTTGCTCTGAGATATGGAGATAGACGGATTTCGTCGGAGATGGAGACGGATTTCGCCGGAGATGGGGATGGATGTCGTCGTAGAGAGTGAGAGATGGAGATGAGACTGAGTTGTGATTTAGGGTTTTAGGTTATGATTTACGATAATATTGTTTACATTTGTGTTGCGAAATTAATATTGTGTTTCGCGTTACGAATTTGACTTTTGTGTTGCGAATTTGAAATTCAGTGTTGCGAATTTGACTATCGCGTTGCGAATTTGACTTTTGTGTTGCGGATTTGACTTCTGTGTTGCGATTTACAAATTTGTGTTGCGATTTACAAATTTGTGTTGCGATTTACAAATTCGCGTTGCGATTTACATATTCGCATTGCGATATTGAAAACTGGGTTGCGAAATTGGAGTTCGCGTTGCGAATTTGTTGGTCATTTTGGTAAATCCAAAAAAAATTAGTTAAAATCGTATATTATAAGGCATTTTCGATCACTGAAGTTATTTTCTATATTTTTTTTAGTGTAGCATCAGAATTCAATTATTTTTTTATAATATTTATGTGCTATCCAGAGTTTTATTTATTTTTATTGGATGATGGGCCAGTCAAAGTTGCAGCAAAAAAGTCAATCAGCAAGCGGCTAGGAGGAGGGTATTTTGTGTCCACTAAACGCACAGACAGAAAACATTAATTGTTAACGCACGTTAAATTCTTTTTAATTTATAGAGAAAAACAATTTGTTGATCAAGACTCGTGTCATGACTTTTCTTCCATTGAAATTGATTATCATATTCGATCGATTCCAAGGCCGATAATGGATCACAATTGGCTTAGTTTAGAGAAATATTATGAAAGAAATTAAATAAAGGTTTATATATTAAAATTATTAGAGGATTTATAATATTTTTTATAATAATTATCAAAGTTATTTCCCGATGTTAATTCGTATGCAAAAGAAATTTGAAAGCTAAAGTCGTTGGCTTAGCTTAAAAAATACGTTATTAATGATTAAAAATTGTATTATTTCATGATAATTTATATCTGGTGGTACATAAAAAAAACATAATTAATCATTAATTTTACAGTTTTTATAAGCGGTCTTTGCTTTGTTTCGTTATACTTCATTATTGTTCTAGCATTTGGATATGCACCGTGGAATCTGTTGTATTTCAATTCTTTAAGATCTATGAAATGTTTGTTTTTGAGTAGAGGAAAAGATAAATCAAGACTCCTGCAATAGATTCAATTCGGTTTATGAATTCTACATTCATTAATTGTGAAATAGAGTGATATAGGTCTATAATAAACTCTCACAATATATCAAATATCAAATATTAAAATCCATCAAGTGATATTAACGATTAAAAAAATGTTATTTTCTCTATAAGTTAAGTGTTTAAACATTTATATCTGTAGGATGTGTTTGCATTATTAAAATTAAAAAAAACAAATATTACATTATAATTACTCAAAATTATTAAGAAAAATAAACTCATTATAAGAATTTTCTTAGCATGTCTCAAAGACTTGCAATTTATGGGTATTCATGGTTTAGGGTTTAAAATGTTTTAGGGTTTTAAAAAATTAAATATGCCACCAAGAAATAGCCGCTCTATTACACTTGAAGATGGTAGATTAGATTGCATTTAAAATGTTTTAGGGTAAATTACACAAATGATTCATCGATTATACAATATTACTTTATTGAGTCATTTAATTATTAAAAGTTATAAAAATAATCTCTCAATTATAAGGAGTTGTTTTGTTGAGTCCATCGACTATTAAAGTTACAAAATAGTCACACAACTATTCATTATGTTCCAAACTCGTCCTTTTCTGTTAAAAAATAATGGTCGTTTAAGCTACACGTTAATATGCTGATAAGATATGATACTCGTTTGAGATTATTAGATCAAATTTTATCATATCTCAGTCAGTAGGTTAACGTCCAACACATATTACCATTTATCTTTTAATAGAAAATGACGAATTCGAAATATAATGAATAGACGAATAATAATTTTATAAATTTTAATAGTTGAGGGACTCAATAAAATAACTCCTCGTAATTGATGAATTCTTTTATAATTTTTAATAGCAGAAGACTCATAAAAGCAGTATCCCATAGTCATAGGCAGAGAACATCAGTGTACTTTACCCAATGTTTTATTAATAATCCTAATGATTTTTTCCTCAAAGGATCGAAAGTAGCAATGGAACAATTTGATGAATGGGGTTGATGACAAGAGATTAAACAGTGTCAAACGGGTTTTAATTTGATAGGTTAAAGTTGGGTTTTATTTGGTCAAACGCTTTACCAATATTTATTAAATAATTTAATAGTTTAATGGCTAAAATATCAACAAAATTATTTGAATGATCAATATATTAAAATTTAGGTGATCAAAATGTAAATTGTTAGAAGTTTAACACTTGGGGTGAAAAAAACAGTATTTTCTTAACAGGAGTATTTAGATTAAAAAAACTTGTTTAAAGTGATCAAAATCTAAAAATTGAGTGAGTATTTAGAGAATTTATCCCCCAAAAAGGTGTTAGAAGGGTTGAGGGTTGGAGGGACATTATCTAGAGGGGTGATACGGCAGGCGGTCCATCCAATCACGACATCGTCGGTGCTACCAAGTACCAACCAACTAACCCACACCATTATAATTTCTCTTTTCTCCTTTGCTTTCCCCATTTTGCCCATTTTTTTAACCCCACTTTGCTTATACTTCCATGTGATATGACATCATTATCCTCCATTCTTCTTTTGCTTGATCCTCCAATAACCCACAGTTAGGGATGGCAAAATCCACGCATTTTGTGTCGTTTTAAGTTGATTTCTTCTTCTTTTTTTCCAAAGAAAAGATGGAATGGGGTTGATGTTTCCCGCATATGCTTACTTTTTTATCCTTTAAAATAATATTCATAAACATAATTTATAATTTATACATATAATTATTTAATATTACTCATCTGATTTAAGTTAATACTACTATAAATATTAATTTATTTTATTTAAATTTGTATCACATTTACACATTCACATTCATACTTTATATAATTTATTATACTAATTGAATTTTAGCTATAAACAAAATCTTTTTCATAAAATATCAATTAATTATTATATTTAAAATTTTAATTTACTTTTTTTTAAAAAGAATCACGAAGGGTATAGTCTAGTACTAATTATTTTAACTCTAAAATACTCCATTTGATAAACAAATGAAGATGAGGGTATTAAGGTAAATATAAAAACAACTAAAGAAACCTAAGAGATTTGAAATTTACAAGAAAGGAGAAGGGGGCAATCGAGGAATAATAATAGTTTTACAAGCACACGTTCCTCTTCTCATCATCTCTACAGATTACAAAGACTTTGCCTTTGGATTTGGCCTTTTGCTTCGCTTTGATTATTTTTCCTTTCTCCTGTTTACGCCATCTGAAGCAGCAACTCCCCACCCTTAAAAATGGGAGCTTTTTTCACTCAAAAATCAACACAAAACGCAAACAAACAGAAGTTGATGTAGGTGGTAGATGCATGACTCATGAGAGCCACCACCAACTTCTGATAATCACACTTTTCTTTTTCCTTTCTTTCTATCTTCGTTCCTCTTCAATCACCATCTTCCTCCCGTCCCTTTAAACAACAAACTTTATATCTATTTTTTTCACCAGATTTTATATTGTCAACCTTAAAAGCCTGGCCTTTTTTTTCTCTCGGTTTCTACGCTAACTCCACTACCACCTTCTTTGTTTCCTCTCCTATTTCTCAGGTATCAAACAAAAGATAAAAACAATGACTTGTCTTTTTCTTTGGTGGTGTTGTTTATCTTCTTTGTAACGGGTAATTTTTGCGTTTCCTGGTCATTGGGTTATGCCCATTTTTTCGCTTTTATGAGTTTGTGGGTTTCTTCTTCTTCTTCTTCTTCTTCTTCTTCTTCTTCTTCTTCTCTTTGATGATTTTTTGTCTGTTTTGGGGTTTGGGTTTTTGTGTTATATTGTTTTGTTCACTGCATCTGCTTCCATGAGGGTGGTAGGTTGGCGGGTTGACTTACTTATGGGAAATTATTGGGATCTTTATTAGGCAAACTCATTGTTCAGCTTTGCTAGTTTCAAATGATTAAAGTTTTGGCTTTATTTCACTTTATGCAAATTATGATTTATGATGAATTTATTTATTTATTTTACATAAAAGCCTTTATGTCACCTTGTCCCCTTATCCGGAGCCCGGTGAACTATTAGAAGTGAATACTATTCCTCCTCTATTGTGGATTGCTAAAAACTTTTCATGGGTTTTGCAGTTCATACTATTCTCTAATTTCATTTATGGATGATTTCTGTTTTTCCAGTATCAACTCTGCTGTATTCTTTTAGAACATCCAATTCATACAAAGGATTATATTTTAGTGTATGTGCAACATTGTTGAACTGAGACGTCTGTAATAACGAGAAAATGATTGGTTTTCAGCCAACCGAATTTCTGCAGGAAGTACTTGTGTTTTTGCCTTAACTGGCATTGATATTTGATAACAAAAAGCTTATTAACATCAGAGGATTTCACATGACAATTCCATTTTCCTTTAATTTCTTTGCCCGAATTGCTTATTTGCATCATGATACTGTTGTGAACTCGTAGTTTTAATGGCTTTCACTGTAACTGTTGACCTTTTTTCCTTTTGGTCATTAATATGTAATATCTTGTTTGTTTAGCTTATGAAACTATTTCTATCTCTGTCAGCCACCTATTTTCATCTGCCATGCGTTCATTTTGCAGTATATTCTTCTTTAATGTTTTTCATTTTCAAATTGTTTAATCTACTTATACACGCCCATCATTTGTAATCCTACAAGCAGACACGGATAAATGCAAAGGAAGATCAATTAAACCGTTGTTCGCAGCATTCCCCACATGGTGAGCTTACGCAGACGCAAGCTCCTGGGACTCTGCTCCGGTAAATTTTGGTTGAGATGTACTTTAAATTGCATAACTAAATTGCTTCTATTGATAGCTATTAGTAGGGAAATTATCTATACATTTTTATGTAAAATGTGTCCTCCAATTCTTTGCTTTTCTGCTTTCCAGGTCAGTTTGTTTGATCAAATTACGAGTTACTTAGATGGAATGTAATTGAACAGGTTCTAAGTTATGCTGAATAATGCCATTCATGGTATTTGATGGCCTTTTTGCAGGGAGGAGTTCCTTTTTGACTCCACTTCCTAGAGTTTTTGATAACGGACATACACCTGAAAGTTCAAGTCAAAATGCAAAATCAGTTAGTGTGCATCCCTTGCCCTTAGATTTCATCAACCAAATGAATGGGGTAAGATAACTTGACTAATCAATTTAACTGAGATAGTATTAAATGGTTTATTTCCCTCTTTTTATATCGGTCTTGTAATTAAGTTTTGTCCGTAAAATATATTTACTGGTGTGCGGATGAGTTCATCCACCTTTGTCCCCAGAAAGGGGAGAAAAAGACCATTTGTTAGTTTGGAACTTCTCCGTTATAGCTGATCATCTTTACTTCCATATTTTAGGACGGACTTGTAATATGCCTTTTTAATTGATAATGTTTGATTGCATTTTATCTTCATCATTGTTTTGCTAACTGTATTTGCATGGTAGACAGCCACGGTTGCATCCTTTCACGTGATCGGCCAATGTTCATGGTTGGTGTTATAGTTATAGTTGAATGAATGGATGTTGTTTGCATGTCTAGTTATGTTATAAGGAATTATTCAAAAGTTCATATCATTAATGTAAACTGTGGATATGAACTGGTTTCATTTGTAAGGTAAAAAAGCTGTTTTCATTTCAGAATTTGTTGTAGTGCCTTTTTCGGTTCTGGATTTTAGTTCATATCATTGTGCTTATTATAGTATATTTTTACTCACATCATCAATTGGAAGCTATTTATATATATGTTAAATAATAATTGACGTTTAATTTTTTAATAGTTAACAATTACTTCTGTAACTGTTTGGTGCTGATTCTCAGAAAAGCATTGCCAAGGTTGACTCTGCATCACCAAATGTTTCTGGTTCCGTTTCATCAAAAGAGCATCATAATCAACCTTTTCCAGGTTTGCATACTTGCTTATGGTTTTGCATTGATGTTTCTTTCTTTGTTTGCAATTTTACTTGTCTTAAAGATGATATCAATAAGTTTCCAGCTTATCAAATTCCTTTCTCTTCTGATCTGAAAGAGTACATGCCTCTCGTGAATTGTTTCATGCATCCAAGATTTGAGGCCAGTATATATGTTTATTGTTGTTCAAAAGAAAAATAAAAGTTATTGCACAATCGGTTCGTCAAAGTTTCGTAGTTTTGACATCATTTGTTCAAGCATGTCACTACTGTCTAGAGAATCAACATTGTTAAGCTATGAAAATGATCTGATCTGCAAATATTTTGGGACTGTTCTATCTTATCTTCAGAATCCTATTTTTGTTTTATCCCTCCTTGCTGCTACTGTAGCGTGCTGCTCGCAATAAATGGCATGCTTGACTTAAGAATGGAAGCATTGCAATTTGAGAAAGTTAATGAAATGGTGCTTCCAGATAGAACATATCATTACGTGTCAGCATCAAAATCAGATGATGGCAGCCATGTTAGATTTTCTACATTTTGAGTGATGCCCTTGTACAATGTTATTATCTGTAGGTCAACCAATTAAACGCAGGAAGCGACACAGGAGGAAGCATCTTCAAAACCAAGAACCATGTCTAATGAGGGGTGTATACTTCAAAAATATGAAATGGCAGGCCGCAATAAAAGTCGACAAGAAGCAGATTCACTTAGGAACAGTTGGTTCACAAGAAGAAGCTGCACGCTTATATGATAGGTAATAAGCTGGCTTTTATCTGGCTTGTAGTGATCACTACTACAATTTTCAGAAACTATCGTTAGTTGCCACTATATGTAGTACAAATATTACTGTTTCGGTTTCGGATGAAGATTGAATAGTCCAATATAACTCATTGATTGGTATTTTTATGTGTAGAGCTGCATTCATGTGTGGAAGACAGCCGAACTTTGAGCTTCCCGAGGAGGAAAAGCAAGAGCTTAGGAAGTTCAAGTGGGATGAGTTTTTGGCATATACTCGCCGTTCGATCACCAACAAAAGTAAACCTTTCCACTATAGATTCTAACCTTATTAACCGAACTGTTGGCATTTAAATACTAAATAGTTTTGTTTTCAACAATGATTACAGAACACAGGCGAAGGCTCGAGGTGGAAGCACAGAAGTGGTCCAAGACTGCAATAGAGAATGGTGAGTGGGAAACCAAACGAGTCAACAATAGCTTCTCGGCTTCAGAAGAGATGGGACCAGACTCTTCAGCCGAATAATCTGGTTCAAGCAACTAAATACTAGTTGCAGGGTCTTCAGTTTTAGGTGTAAAAGTCCCCTCTATTAGAGCCAAGTAATATTATTTTGATCTCATTATCTAATGGTAATTAGATATCTACAAGTTTTTAACAAAAATAATAAGGGTTGAATATTAGTTGAATCATGATTCACCATTGTTGTTAGAAAGAAGAAAGGCATTGCAAATGCAAAGCTATATATAATGCCTTATTTTGAATTTAACAGAAGCTGAACCCTGAATTTGTTTGGAGGTCAATGCACTGACATTAACGGGGGAGGCATGGACCGGTTACTTATGAGCTTGAGGCCAACAAGCCGACAACAAAATATAGATGTTTACACTTGCTGTATTAAATGCCTTCATCATTTGCATGAACTGCTGCAACTAATTTGTTTTGACACAGTGCATGGACAAGATGAATATAAATAAATAAAAACAAGAACAAAAACCCAGCAAAAATTTTGTGAACCAAATAAGGAGCCAATATCCGATGATTGGGATGACATGTAGTACTAGCAATTTCTTGGCAGCTTGTCACTAAGTAATTTATTCATAAAAAAGAAAATGGTGAAATTATGAAACCGATCCTCCATTCTTTTATTCCTTACAATAATCATTGTATGATCTAATAAACCCCTTAACCATTAATCTTTTCTTGTTTTCATTTGAGCATGTAAGTTCTCTCTTTTCACTAAAGCCGCTATCTATTTATCATTTTTCAGTCCTTAAATCATTCTAGACCGGTTTTCAAAAATGTTATAATAGAAATCATGCTCCATATTATTCATCTTTCAAGACCATACTGTTCACTTTTCAAGATGTCTACCCAATTACCTATTAAAGAGTCCATACTATTCAACCAAACATGTAGTAAAATTATATGATGAAAATATGTCAAGAATGTTATATTTAAATCTATTTACTTTCAAAATATGTTTTATTTAATTACGATTAATATATGTGTTACTATTGGTACCATTAAACTTAAGACTTAGCGTGTAGTATTTCTGCCTGTACAATTTATTATTGAAAGTTAATTTATTTTAAAACTGCATTAGATCTCGAGAAATAACAATCATGTTGAATATTTTTTCTTCTCAATACTAATGACATGCATATTAAATGTTTTGTCAATATTTTTTAATTATGAATATGTTAAGTAAATGATTTTTTAAGTGGACGCTATGAACTTGTAATCTTAAAGCCATATCTGTCATTAGGTGAAATATTTTCTTATCATACTAAATACTTGAATTGAAGTATTTGAATAATAATCCTTTTATTTTAAGTGTGGTAGCCTTTTAACTGTTTTAAATAAATATTTTTTTGATTAAATAAAAGGTATTACATTTAAGCAAATGTCAAAATCTAAACCCACATAAAATAGGACAATATAAACATCATTGACCACTCAATCAATTAATGTATCTGTATTTTAAATAAATATTTCGTGCTCGAGAATGGTGTCATTTGGTTGCAAAATGGTTTCAAAATATTGTACCAGTTTGGAATGTTTTCAAGTTATTTAACAAGGGTTTCAAGATCGCAGGAGGAAGTATCGAAACCAAATTCTAGTACCTATTTTGGACATCGATATTGAAGGTGGTGTTGATATCAACTAGGGATGGCAATGGGTCGGGTCGGGTTTTTGGGCCACCCGACCCGACCCGAGAAGAAAGGGTTCTTCACCCGTGACCGACCCGACAAAATTAATGTTTCACCCGACCCGACCCGACCCGAATATATGACTTAGAAACCCGACCCGACCCGAAATAATAATAAAAAAAATTTAATTCAATGAAAACAGTAACTTAATTGAAAAAAATTATATATGAAGGGATATTATTGTAATTATCCCTAAATATATAAGATAAAATTATATATATTTTTCGGGTCGGGTCGGGTCGGATTTTTTTTACCCTAAACCCGACCCGACCCAAACAGTGCATTCAAAAAAAACCCGACCTGACCCGAACCCGAATTTTTTTTAAAAAATCCGACCCGATCGGGTCGGGTCAGGTTGGAACCCGTCGGATTCGGATTGAGTTGCCATCCCTAATATCAACCCATAAAGTTTTGAAATTCTAAGGAGAATTTCGATACCGACCCATAAAGTTTTAAAACTTATAAGAGAGTTTTGAAACCCTCTTCCCTAAATTCCGTATAAAATGCCTTAAAACTAAAGCTGAGTCGTAAAAATAATGTTAAAGTCCTACTGAATTACTTCATATTGATGCATAAAATTATACAATAAAAGCTCAAATAGAAAAATAAAAATTCTACATTTATGCGAAATAGCATACAGTGATTTGTTTCTCTTTTTTCAATGTGTAAATCATTATTTATAGTCATCAGGGCCATGGTTAGATTGTAAGAGACCCTGTGCAAATTCTTATAAAAGAGTCCATATTTTCTAGATAATTTGATTTCAGGCCCCCTATTTTTATACTTCTTAATGATAATAACTAATAGATATACTCGATTTCGGACCTCTTATTTTTATACTTCTTAATGGTAACAACTGATAGATATACTCGATTTCGGAACTTCTATTTTTATGCTTCTTAATGACAACAATTGATAAATACACTCTATTTCAAGACCCCTATTTTTATGCTTATTAATGACAACAACTGATAGATATACTCGATTTCGAGACCCTTTCGAAACCCCTATTTTCTGGGGGCCCTACGCGGTCGCCCACCTTGCACACCCTTAGCCACGCCCCTGATAGTCATTAACTATTTAATAATGAAGTTGAGGTATTGAATTAAGAAGATTGTCCAATAAAACATAGTTTTGAAACTACAAGTCTGAAATTCCAAAATTAGCTCCACTGAAACAACAGGATGAATCGACTCTTTTATCTTTTTCTAAAGGCACTTTGTATTATCCCTGAAATAAAATGTTATAATCAATCAGAGCACACTCTTTTATGTTTTCTAGGGGGCAGGTATGCAAATCTTCCACAGATTGTTCACAGTTGAAATATAATTCAGTTCCAGGCCTTATGGAAAAGTTAACCTTGTAAAAGAAGGGGGCAAAAAGATATTAGACTAATAAACTTACGTTACTAGTTAGGCATGGAGTTCATGTTCAAGCGACCGATGGAAGGAAGACCCTAATTAGTCCTCTCATGGTGACTCTTTTCCTGCAAGTTGGGCATATCGCCTGAACAGCTAGTGCAGCTTTAATGCATGCCTTGCAGAATATATGGCCACACCTTGTTGACGTCTCCTCCGATAACGGCCCCATGCAAATTGGGCAGTTGAAGGTTGGTGCCTTTCGTGGTGGCTGTGACAATATAATTTCCTCCACCTGCCAATAAAACATTTAGCAAGTCTAGAGCGTTCAAAACCCCCACCCCCCAGAAATGCAACACACATGCATGGACAAAAACTAGGAGAGATGTCTAGTCACGATCTCTCTAGATCTGATGACCAGCCAAATCTGTTCATATTTCCTTGAAAGTATTCGACATTATCACACATTTTGAACAAAACACTAAAAGGAAGTGTTCTTACCACTGACTCTGTTGAGCTTTCCAAATTGATAACATTTGGGATCGTAGGAAGTCTTCGGAGCCTATTCGGATTATCATGGGTTGACCACATGTGAGCTACACCAACTAAAAACAAAGAGCAACATAGGGTTTTAACAACGAAGAATAAATAAGTAAAATAAGAATCACTAGTCCATAGATTGATAGACCGATGCATTCACACAAGAAAAACATTAGATTTTATCAGGCTACAAAGTTTTAAAGCAATAATATCAACGTTAGTAAATCACCCACATACCACAAACCTCGAAAATAAAGGTAAACAGCTATGTTAAAAACCAATGAATTGTATTTATTAACAAACCCCTAAAATAAAGGTAAACAGCTATGTTATTAAGCACAGACCCAAAAAGAGTATGGTGGGCAGTGCTCAGCATACAGCAAAAGAAGTGAATAGATCTTTTTAGAAAATATAGACATAAAAAAGCCAAGTAAAACTACTAATAGTACTTCCTGTTTTATTTCCATTTTAGTGCAATTCTCTTGAGTTACATATAGAAGCATTTGATTCATCAGCATCTTTTAATCAATTCAAGGCACACAATATCACCCAGATTTTCACTTGGATTATATCATATTTGGTTAAGTGGAGCGTGATCAACGTGCATCGAATTTCTCTTATTTCAAATATGAAAAAAATGAGCTGACATTCCTTATATTCAACAATTTAAGGGGCAGGCTATTTTGTCCCAATGACCCTAAACCTAAAACTAACAAAGCACCTAAGTCAAGACCGGGTTTGAAACCCATAGGACATCTACCTTAAAATTCAGTCGTTAATGGGGTTTCGACATTGTTATTAAGAAGGAATCTTTTGACTCGTAAAAATAAATAGAATGAATTTACAAGGTAGCACATCAAATAAGCTTCTTCTACGCAATGTTCATATGATAATACAGGTATCATGCGAGGTCAAACAAAAATACTATAAACAGCATTCTTCGTAAGTTTACCTACCTGAATCTACATCAACAACAGTCCTTCCACGGTTCCTCCTTGAATTGTTCTGAGCCTGATAAAATATCCCAATAAGTTTATAAAAATCAGCACGATGCAAATGGTCATGGAAACTTTAAGCGAAAACGAAGCATAATGAAACAAGAGGAACATACTTCTGCAAAAGCTGTAGCTGAAGATTCAATTGCATCATCATCAATAGCCTCAACATCAATAGTTTCCGGTGGTCCAAGCTGTACGGATTGGATAGTTTGTTCCTCATACCCAGCCTGTTGCGAAGTACCCTCCATTTCTCTGATTTCACTGGGTGGAACATTCAGATCAAGCATTGCCTTTCTCCTTCGATACCCTCTGAGAGAAGGCTCCCTCACTTCAAGATTGCTCATGTTCAGCTTATGATTTTTCAAAGCAATAATTATTCAAAGATTGCAGCCTCAATAAAACCTAAATGATGTTAAAATACAACTTCCTCAGGTACATTCACAACAGATACTGTATCATGTTTTCACTAAAAGCAAACAATTTCTTTACTTGATTTCAATGTTAATGACATTTACAGAAAAATAGTTCAATCTGAAATCAAACCAATCTAGTGATTTAGAGCTTGTAATAGGAAAGGGCATCCAGAGACACAAAAATAAGAATTTTTTTCTCTCTCACAAACTTTGCTTCCTAGAAAGTCCAAGTAGCAACAAAGGTATCATCACCATTTCCTAGAAAGATTTAAAAAGAAAAAAATGGAGAAGCAAAAGAAACCCAATTCTTAACAACGGAAGATCGATTAGACACCAAAACATCAAATAAAAAAAAGAATTGAAAAAGAACAAAAAGGAAAGATTGGTAAGTCAGAAGAGAATGGGAGATCAAATATGATACCTTGATACACTCAGAAAATCGAATCGAGAAATCAAGAACGTTCCTCAAAGAAAAAAATCGGAAATTGGTTTGAGCGAAGTGGAGAATCCCGGTGAAATTACCACGTCTAGGGTTTTATAAATCAGGGGAAGAGATTTTTCAACAGTGTATTATGAAGGTCGCGCGTCGGTGTGAGCTTGAAGAGTGTCCACGTGACGTGACCCCACTTTGAATTCGTTACGTATTCGCTTACAAATGCATCCACCGCGCACAAATCTTTCGCTTAGAGCGTTCGCTTGGCTCTCTTTTTAGAGTCAACATTTTAGCGCTACTTTTGCATTAATGGTCAGATTAAAGATTACCATAGTGAGTATAATTACTATAATTGGCAGATTAATTACCATGATAGGTAGATTAAGTATTAGATTAAAAATAGTACAAAAGATTGATTAATATATTTCATTAATAAAACATGAATCACGTTATTTTATAATGGATACAACTATTTATTATTTATTTTAATTTATATGCATTATAAACATTTTCAGTGATATTAAATCAAATTCAACACTTACTGTATATTTATTTTAATATATTTAAATTTATAAAAATTAGTATTTAATCAACAATTTATGGTAGTAGGGTCCATATTTAGGTATAATTTGTTCGAATAGATCTTTCATGTTCCATTTTTCTTTAAATAATCTGACTAAAGTGATTAAGGCAGTATCTTTCTTAGTTATTGAAAACGTACATATACTCTGCAGACATAACTATTCAAATTGAAGACTTATTGAGAGAACAAGATTCCGTATAATCACCGAGTGAGTTGTTTCCTCTTTTGTTTCACTTCATGGTTCATGTACTGAAACTTCTGTTGGCAATCCACAAGTGCAAACCCCATCCGTGCAAGAAGCTTAAGCCTTTTTTTTTCATGATTTCTAAGAGAATGCTCAATGCTCAGAAAGAAAATACTATTTTCTTCATTATCCCATAATCTCACTAGATTGAATTTGATCCATACCAAGTTTAATTGGCTACAGAAAAGAAAATCACAAAATTGAGACAATTCCACGCATAAGAAAGTGAAAATTCAAGATAACAAATGACAATTAGTGCTATAAAAATACAGAAGAACAATCGAAAAAGAGAAGCAAATTACAAATAGACAAGCTAAGAGTTTAAAATATAAGTGAAACATGTTTGGAAGCACACAAATAGAGCAGTTAATTTACTCTGCTGGATCCGAAGGAGCCTTCAATGTATTTACAGTAATAATATCCACACAACTCGTAACAAATCCACAAGCTTTTCACATCCCTCATTTTCTGCACCAAGGGAGGCAGCAACTCTGGAGGAAACAAAACACATATTCGATTACGAATTATGAAAAAATAACCATTCATATGCATTGCAAAGCAACATACCTTAACACCACTGCTGTTGGATGGCCTCCGATTTCGAGCATTGTTGTATGGGGGATTGATCGCCCCCCATGCCTGCTACCCTACCCCCGTTGTTCCTTTCTTCCCGCACCTTGTTAAATATGTGAGTATAACCATCCGCTGATGCCGGGTTACTCTCATCCCAGTCACCAAATTTTGGAACAGCGGCACTTTTATCGGGCTGTGACATCGGAAACCAGATTATTAGCAACAAGTTTGTCTCAAGAAGAGCCATTGTTTGTGGAAGAGTTCATACAAGCGAATAATGCAATATCATTATCAAGTGTTGCAGACAAATTCAAGCTCACCAGTAGATCAGCGACGCGTTTATTTTCGAGTTCATGTCATGTATGATGATAAAATGAAAAGAAGAAAAATAGCTTACACTTTCATCGCCTCTAGCACTTGGCTTCAGTCTGGATCTCCCAGGTGTACCATGGCTACTATCATACGAAGTCTTTCCTTCCCATGCAGGTGATGGCATGCTACCTCTCCCTGCGACTCGTGCCTGGTGATGCATAGGCGATTTCTCTAGGCTGTTTTCAGATCCAATGCTTGATCTAGTAGTGCGCTTCGGTGCTTCACTGGAGCTTAATCCACGACCATAACGTGAAGGTGTAGTGTCCCTTGAAGCTCTGCGGTTGACATTGTCGTGTCGTGTTGGAGAGTCAGCATATTGCCTGAGGTAACCTTCTTCCCTGCTCCTTTGGCGTTCATGTCCCCTTCTAGCAGGTCCTTGTCCTACCGGTTCATCCACTTCCGGTTTCGCTCTTGAACCAGGATTAGACCTAGGAGCTACAAAATCTTGATGCAAATCCGGGTTCTCTTGAGGATCATTAGGGTTTACAATCTTTCCTCCGCTGCGACCTTGACGGGCCGTATCAAAATAAATCGTGTAGGGAACATTCTCTTCACCCTCCCAATTGCCAAACTTGGGCACATGGGAGCGCTGTTGCCGTTGCTACAATGACAGCAAATTAGATTATACACAAACAAAATTCTCCTCCATCATTAACAGGTTAATGACAAAGATTAGCAGATCATAGTGTTAGAAAAAAATGTTAATCTGAGATAAAATAATAAAAATAATAAATAGATATTATTATATAATCGAACGAAGCAAAATAAATAGAGAATTAAAATGGAGGAATGTGATTTATTTATTCGTATGCAGACACTAAATAGGATGAGTAAGTAAGATAAATCGAAGAAGAATTTTTGTTGAGGCCTGTATGAACATTTTTCTTAAGACAGATTCGTCCTATCCTAGGTGCTTTGAGTAACGTTGAACGTCGGTCTCCTAAGATACAACAACAAACGATCACAACAGTAAGCACAACCGTATTGATCAGTCGAACACAATCTTGCCTTTCTCTATCACCGGAAAGAACGAATTTGAAATAAATTTTCTAAGTGATTTCCTAATTCAACTTTGTAAATTGTGTCTCAAAGTTGTTTCTCAAAGTTGTGTCTCAACTAACCTATTTATAGGTGAGGGGATATGAATCAAAAGGTTAGGATCTTTTGAAGAATAATTAAAACATTTCATGAAAAGAATTTGTTGAAAAACTAATAGGCATAATTGAATGGATGTAACTTTAAACTAAAAAATAAGTCCATTCACCAAGTGACATGACTTATTATAATAAGTCTATTCACCAATCCCCCACATGAATGAAATTGATGATTTCAAATAATGACTCGATATGGTGATAGATTATACGTTCGATATTTGCATAGGATATGTAGGCGTCTCCCTTTGAACCTTCCCTTGTGAAATTATGTTTACCTTACTGGCTGTCCAATAGACGCGATGTCATTGAACTGTTCTGTTGTTGGTGTAAGCGATAACATACCTAACACAAATATCTCACTGACAAGAATTTGGTTTTTATTGTTATGTCCATATAGCCGTGGACATCTCCTGGTTCTGCAAGAGTTTAGATAACTATGTCCCAATAGTCTCTTTCAAGCAGCTACACTTCACTCTCACATAGGTGTCGTATGTTGTTCGGCTCACCGAAAAACATAGTGGTCATTAAAAGCATTGCTTAGCCTTTTCCACATTTTAGTCACTGTTTTCATCATGAGAATGGACTTGGGATAAATACCCCTACAGTGACCTCACAAGGTCTATGCAAGTAAGTTGTTCCATTGAACCTAGATCTTGGGATCTCTAGTCAACTAGGTTGGTTTTTCCTTCACATAACGCCTTAAATATTAATGGGCTTTAGTCACATTCCTTTCGATGTTTATCAACTTGATCTCGATTCAACTCATTCTTTAGCGGATCAATAATGTTATCTTTTAATCTTACAAAATCAATATAGATAACTCTAGTTGAGATCAATTGTTTAATGATATTATGTCGACGACGTATGTGTCTCGACTTACCATTATACTTATACAAGACACCCCTACACTTTAATATAGTTGTAGAAAATTTTCTACATTTCTATAACTAATCTGGTGTCTCACATATTTTCTTGTAAGTTACCTTATTTAAAGGTAATTTGCTAATAAAATATCTTCCTCCACATGTTTTGTGACAACTCAGAAAATGACCAAATGTCATTCATAATATGGTGTATCTGACAATCAATTCAAGATGTAACTTCGACATTGAAACTTAGAATTGTTTCAAGCTTTAATGACAACAACGTCTATCTCATCCTCTCTATGAATAGGAGTATCATCCTATATTTGACCATATTTTTTGACCATATTTGATCATATTCAACATGATTAAATATAACATTTTATGTCGCTATGTCTTGAAATTCTATCTATGAATTTCACATGATTCTTGTTGTGGCTCACAACCACTGACATCGTTGAATTTTATCAAATACTGAATAGAAATCAACATTTCAAATCATGAGTTAGGTGAATCAGTGGGGTTACCATTGTTTCGTTTAAAACACGTAATCATAATTTGTAAATAATCCAACAATAAATTGAAAGTTAATTCAATTTATTTTACCATTTGTTTCCGTTGAACAAAATTTCATTAGAAATTAAAATTCTAAAACAAAATTTGTAACAATGTTGTTACCTCCAAACGATTTATGTTATCAACAGTAAATCAAATAAATTTTGTTGAACAACATGATCAAAATCCTGAAACATAATTATAGACCCGATTTTTGTTTACAGACATATCATAATTTCGTTCGGTACCCTATTTATCGCAACGAATTTTAGTTAAAACTAAAATCCAACAATTAAGTAATTTATGTTAAACGAATGGAATTTTGTAAAATTAAAATCCCGAAACATAAATTCCCAATCAACAATATTTTTGTTAATCCGTTAAACGTCAGGATTTAGTAAAACTAAAATTTGAAATAAAACCAACTTCTGTTGGACAATGAGATTAAAACCCGAAATAGAACCAATTTCTATTTAACGACGAGAATTTAATAAATTAATTCTCGAAATAGAACTAACTTCTGTTGAACGATGAAAATTTAGTAAATTGAAACCCGAAACAAAAGTACAACACATTTATGTGTACAAAACTTTTTGCTTTTTCGACACATCAATAGTGCTAAAATCGCAAAACACCTAGTTAGAAAAATAAAAATAAAAATAATCTGGAAACTTACATGTCTTATAAGGCTTAACTTGTGGAAGTGTCTGTTCAAACTATTTTGATTCGTATTCATATTACCAGAATGATAACATAACTTAAGTCACTTGGTATTAATTTCATCATTAGTTTCATTGTTGCCAACTTGAAGCATCAACAAAGGACAAAGCTTTTTGTGCGCAACAACAAATAACAAAGCTTGGTGCACAATCACTCAAGAATTTTTGATGCTTTACATCATGCACGGCTTGGACAATTTATGGTTTAAAGCGCAAGACATCCACAAAAGACAAAATACAAGCCTCACATCTGTTCGTTCGTTAGTAATTCACCTTGGCTATAATTTCAATAATACAATCATTTGTATGACCTCTCGGATTAGGGAAAAAATGAATATGTCTTAAGATTGTTATAAAAAAAATGTTAATTCGAGATAAAATAAAAATAAATAAATATTATTATATAATCAAACGAAGCAAAATAAATAAAAAATTAAAATAGAGGAACGTAATTTGTTTACTCGTATGTAGACACTGAATAGGAAGAGTAGAGCAAGATAAATCGAAGAAGAATTTTTGTTGAGACTTGTATGAACAGTTTCCTTAAGATAAATTCATCCTCTCCTAGGTGCTTTGAGTAACGTTGGACGTCGGTCTCACAGGATACAAACAACAAACGATCACAACAGTAAGCACAACCGTAGTGATCAATCGAACACAATCTTGCCTTTCTCTATCACCGGAAAGAACGAATTTGAAAGGAATTGTAACATCCCAAAACAGGGCCAGTGACCAAATTGTAAGAATTCAAAAGTTAGTTGTTTAATTTGAATAACTTGAAAAGTTCAAGGATCTATTTTGGAAATTTTGTTTGGGACTTGATATCAAAGTTGGATTATTGGAAGGGTATTATGGGTTTTTCAAATGAAAGATTTTTATCTTTTCTCTTTAAGTGATATAAAACACGTGGGAAATGAGAGAAAGAGTATCCAGAGTCTTCTTCAGTTTTCTTCTTCCTCTCCATTGTGGGTTTTGCATAAGGTGAGTATACTTCTTTGTGATTATTCCTTTCATTTTAAGGTTGATTTTGATTCTTTGGGTATTAAGGAAGCTTAAAGATAAGTAAAAATTCAAAGATTTGCAAGTTATGAGAGATTAAGTAAAACAAGTTTTTGAGTGAATTGTTGAAAAAGAATGAGTAAATAGATTTTGAAGTTGAATTTGACTTGTCAAGGGTCTAATTAATAAGTTAGAAGTAATAGAAGTGAATCAAAAACATGTTGGAAAATTTGTAAGATTTTTAGTTTCAAGAATTATAATGAGATATTGAAGATGATGGTGTGTTGTATGATTATAAGATGGTTTAAGTATGTATAGTTGAGTTTAAAAGCATGAAGAGAGTTAAATAAGTAGAGTTTGGGTAGAATGTTGGAAATTTTTGGGTTAAAAAGCATATTTTGGGCTAGTAATATCGGTACCGGTTGAGTGAGTATCGATACTATAAGGTAAAATGTGATAATTTTTCGTAGGGTATCAATATTTCATGAACAATATCATTACCATAAGGTAAAAAGTGAGATAAATATTCATGAGGTATCGATACTGAAGGGGTAGTATCGGTACCATGGGTATCAATACCAAATGGGAGGTATCGGTACCATTTTTTACAATGAAATTACAGAATCGAAAATGGGTATCTATACCGTAGAAGGGTATCGATACTACAAGTATAGAGGTATTGGTACTGTGTTTGTAGTACAGATACTACCTAAGTGGGAATTAAGGAATCAGTGCTTTGTTTAGTTTATATTGGCAAGAATCTTTCTGAGTATTTTGAATTTCGATATTCATTGAATTGTATATTCGTGTAGATATCGATCGAAGACAAGTCCAAGATGGTTCGAAGTTATAAGAGTGTGCAAGAGTAGTACGTGTTTGAATGGATTAGTAAGGCCAGGTGAGTGCTTAATATTAAGTGTATGATATTCTATGGATTAAGACTTGCGATGAGTCTATTTTTCATATTAGAGTACATGAATCCATGAATACAAGCATGCACTTGATACTATGTGTCATATGTTATTGTATGCGTTACATGTGATACTATGTGTGTTCCATGAGCTATGTGAATGCACTATGTATGTGAACCTGGAATATAAGTTAGATGATTATGAGTTATGTAAATAACAATAAATTAGGTAATAACAAGAGAAAGTGATATAAGTTATGTGGTAAAAATATAAAAGATTATATGAAAATGTAATATAAAATAGGTAATAAGAATCTAGGTGTCTATATGTCTATGAGAAGATAGAAGAACAAGTTGTCAACCAGGTGATATGAATTTCATAGCTTTGTGTTGTCGACTTAAGTAATTAAGTGAACTATAGGACATATGTTATAATGTATGATAATGATTTAGGTGAATATAAGATAACAAGGTATAAGTTATATGAATTAGATCTTTGTGAAATGATATAATGGACTTATGTGATTAAATGAAGATTAAGATAAGATAAGTAGCATTGATATATATTTATATATAATATGAGAATTGGATATAAGCTAGAGGATACTAAGATAAGGAATTATACTAATATGTAATATTAGTTGATAATATGTATATATATATAACAATATGAGAATATGTATAAGTAGCAAATTATGTGAACTTGAACTAAGTGAATATGTGAGAATAGTATAAAATTTATGTGATATAGATGATTATGTAAATCTGTGAGATAAACTATGTTGTATTGATATTCGGACTATATTAAAATATGTGTAAGAGTAAATGCGTAAATTATATGGGTTGATATGCGAACATAAGATAATAAATGATAAGTTATATGATATCAGCCATGTGATTATATGAATATGTTAACATACCTTGCTTGTATTACATGTTATGTGACATGAACTTATGTGATATGTGTTATAAGTCAATGGACTAAGTGACCATATGAAAATGTTACATGAAACATATGAAAATGTTACATGAAACATGTGAGATATGCTATGAGATATGACCATGTGACTATACGTGAAATGATATAAGTCATGTGAATATTTGTGTGATTATGGGAATGTGTGACAAAAATAAATGATAATGCCCATATTATGTGATATGAGAGCTAGGGGTATAGTTGGCATGCTAAGAGTTGAGGGTTCTATGTGGTCCTTCGGGATAATTATGTGGCACTTCGTTGCAAACCTATGTGGTCCTGCGAAACAATTATGTGACACTTCGGTGCAAATTATGAGCTGTGGTGACAACATTTGTGCACAACCTCAATGCACTCACATATCTTTAGTTCTCACAAGTGTACCATAAGCTAATAAAAGTGATAATAGAAATAAACTTTGTGTGATGTTATGTGTGTTTCTTTGTGAAATGTGTTATATGTTTTGTATAGATAATAAGTTCAATAGTATATGATAAAAGGAATTATCGATAATGATAAGAATATTAATGATGATAATGATGATGGATGTGTAAGTATGCATTTCGTTATATGTAATAGTACATGATCTTATATGATATGATGATATGAAATGAGGTTAATGACGAGATATGAGTATGTCTACATTTGATACTATGAATATTCCATGGTTTTGTATGATATCATAGTATGAATTATTTATGCATTGTTAAGTATTTAGAGTTTCCATTATATGTTTTATGTCTCACTAAGTCATCGACTTAGCGTGTGAATGTTTCACACATAGATTCCGAGAAGGTTAAGGAGCAAAGAAGGTTTAGACATGTTAGTTTCTCCTTTCCGAATATCAGATCAGAAAAGAATATTGAATTGTATGTATTTTGTTATAATGAAGTAGTTGGCATGTAAATAAAAATTTGAACAAGACTTGCTCTGATCGGTTTTTTTTGTAAAATCGTATTATTGTAATTCATGTGAATTATTCAGTTTTCTTTTCGATAAGAACTAGAATTTCAGTTGTTTTGTAAAAGTAAATGTTTTGAAAAATCAATATGACACCTCAGATTCGTATCCGGGTCGGGTACGGATTGGGGGTATTACAGGAATTTTCTAAGTGATTTCCTTATTCAACTTTGTGAATTATGTCTCAAGTTGTGTCTCAACTAACCTATTTATAGGAGAAGGGATATGAATCAAAATGTTATGATCTTTTTATAAATAATTAAAATATTTCATGAAAAAAATTTATTGAAAAACTAATAAGTATAATTAAATAGATGCAACTTTAAATTAAAAAATAAATCTATTCATCAAGTGACATAACTTATTATAACAAATCTATTCACTAAGTAACATAACTTATTATAAATAATATCAATTTTATTCCGTTAAACTATTATTTTTTTCAACACATAAATGGAGCTAACCTAAAAATGGCTCAAAATAGGAAAAGCCAGCAGATTTTCCACAAGGGAATAACACACGCAATGAATTTTTGATGATAAACATACAAGTTTTATCGATTTCGGAACAAATATAAAGATGAACACGAACATATAACTTTAAGTTCACCCAGAATTATTTCCGGCTAATATTCATTTACACTAAATTTCAGCAAGTATATGCAAACATAGCATTCAAAGTATACAAAACTCAAATCCCACAATCATCATTTTTATTACTTATGTCAAAATTTCTCAGGAAACAAACAGAAGAACAATGAAAACTACACCAACCCCCCCCCCCCAAAAAAAAGGAAAAAGGAAAGAAAATAGTAAAGATAAAAAAGAACTTACTGCCATTTCTTTCTTCAGCAAACTTGAGAAAGAACACCCAGATCCTCAAAAGAACAAAAACAAATTCAGCTTTCTTATAACCAGAACAAAATTTCCATCTTGTAGAAGAACTATTCAACCGAAATTCAAAGAAGAAAAAAGAAAGAGAAATGAGAAGAGTTTTAGATAGAGAAAGAGTATTTAAAGGAAAATAAAGAAAGGAGGAGAGATCGAGAGAGAGGATTATCAACCATTGACCGGCACCTCCGGTAACGTTTAACCATTCTCTGCTTACCTCTCACTTTGTCAAAACTCTGTTTCTTCACAGCTATGGTTTTTGGTGACTGAAATGAATTAATTTGGCGGTGACAATAGCAGCCTTAAAAGGATGTGCTGGTTAAAGTCTGAACTGTTAAGAGTCCTAAATTTAACGCCGTTACTGTTAATGGCGGCTGACTTGTGATCAAAGCTGAGACTCTGTCTTCCTCCGCGGTTAACTCTTAGTTTTCTTTTTTATTTTATTTTTCTTTGTCGGCTTCTGTTCAGACATTTCTCATATCCTTCTTTTAACGTTTTTTTTCTCTGTTTGTTTGTCTTAAAAATAAATATTTATTTAGGCATTTGCTAATTAATTATCATTTGCACTTTCCAAAATTTGAATTAAAATTTTAAATATGATGTTAAATATAATACCTTAATTTCTAAAAAATAGTTTAAATAATATAATCATATCTATTTAATTAATTCAAAAAGGGGGAAAATAAAAAATGTGTTGTCAACTTCTAAGTATTCTTTTTGTTAACATTTTTTTACTAATAATCAATTTTTAATAAAAATTGCAACTATACAATATTTAAGATAAAAATATTAAACCTACCAGTGGATTAACAACTAATGCTTCAAATTCAATCTATTAATTTTCTTGCTATTACAACTACAAAGTTTTAATATTGAAGTTAATAAGAATTCAATTGTTAGTTGAATTTAATATATATATATATATACACACACCCGATGTTTATAAAAATAGATATGGCAGGTTCTTCATATTTTTTATTGTTAAATAGAAGAATGTTGAATACTTAAATTCGTATCCTCTTATATATATTGTACGAGTAAATATACCAATATAATGAAACTCAATTGACAATATTATTATTATATTTTAAAAATTTTAAGACTTTTTCATATGTAAAAAAATATGATTGAAAACATCATTATTCTAATGAAAAAAGTCAAAGGGTTAATGGAATAGATGGGATGGAAGTTAAAGGTTAAATTGACTGAAAAATGACAAAAGAATCAAAGTGAAAATTTTACAACAGTTTATAAAAATTAAGGATGTAATTACATTAATTCTTACTTTTATATATTTAATTTAACAACATCAATACATTACAATTGATAAAAGAATAAAAATTATTTTATGTTATTTTATTATTAAACGAACGAACATAAATAAGATTTCGTTTAATTAAATAGACGAGCACGAACAAATGAGTCTTTCGTTCATTTATGTTTGTGAACTTTCGGTAATCCGTTCATTTATGTTCCAACAAACTAACTCTGAAGTTGCAGCTTATATTAATGAATTTTGTGTGATTACTGTTATTGTGATTTATGTTCTTTTATGCTAGTTTATCATTTTAATGAACGATAATAAACAAACACGAACAAGTTTCATTCCTTGATAAATGAACGCAAACAAAAAGTTTGATTTGTTTAGTTGTGTTGCGAAATATGGCTATCGGATAGAGCAAAATCGCAACTGATAATTTGAGAAAATAAAAATAAAGATAAAGAATACACAAATTTTACGTGGAGAACCTCTAAATAATATAGGGTAAAAACCACAGGCAACGGTAGAAGAATTTTACTATGAGAAAATAGGAATTACAACTTCTCTCGATCTAACAAGGAGAAAACAATAATAATTCTCTATTGATAAAAAGGATAAAACAACTCTCAAGAAAACTCTCTAAATTCTCTAGTCTTGGGAGAAAGCTAGAATGATTTGGGATGGTTTTGAAGCTAAATGGGTTAGGATATTTATAGTTGAAGCCTAAGGACTAATCTTGTAAATACTCTAAAGTACAATGACTAAATTGCAATTATATCATTGCCCAAAAAACAACATTTTCAGCTTCTTTTTGACAATTTCCATTCGGTGGAAATTCTTTCTCAACTTTCGGTGCAAGTTAGGAATCAATTTTCATCAATCTCTCATTTGAAGATATGATTGGAACAATCATATCTTCACACCATTCTTTCTACCTTATACCATCATGTTACTTACGTCTCTGACAGACCACAAGAGGATCGACACCAAGTAAATTTATCAACATTGATCGCATTCGTCATGAAATCTGTTATGTTGTCTTTGGTATGGATCTTCTGCATATCTACCGTCTCTTCTTCCACCTTTTCACGAATGAAATGGTACTGAACTCGTATGTGCTTTTTCCTTGAATGAAATGTTGGATTCTTTGCTAGATGTAAGGCGCTTTGACTATCACAAAACAGAGATACATACTCTTGATTGTGTCCAAGCTCCTCCATTAGTATCTTCAACCAAATTGCTTCTTTATTGGCTTCTGTAGCTGCAACATATTATGCTTCTATTATGGATTTAGCCACAACTGACTGCAATTTTGAAACCCAGCTTACAGCTCCACCAGTAACTTTGAACACATATCTTGTAGTAGATTTGCTTTTATCCAAATCCCCTGCATAGTCAGAATCAACATACCCATTGATAAGTAAATTTGATCTTCCGTAACATAATGCAACATTTGAGGTCCCTTTGATGTATCTCAGGATCCTCTTTATTGTATTTCAATGCTCTTTTCCTGGATTTTCCATGTACCGACTATCCACTCCCACTGCTTGTGCAATGTCTGGTCTTGTGCATATCATAGCGAACATCAAACTTCCCACTGCCGATGCATACGACACTCGAGACATCTCCATCCTCTCTTCTTCACTGCTAGGACTCATAGTGGAGGATAATTTGAAGTTAATATGAAGAGGGGTAGAAATTGGCTTACAATCTTGCATGATGAACCGTGACAAGATCTTCTTCAAGTAATTCTTTTATGAAAGTCAAATCTTCCTATTACTTCTATCTTGGTGTATTTGCATCCCTAGAATCTTGTTTGCTGATCCCAAGTCCTTCATTTCAAATTCCCTAGCCAGTTGTGCCTTCAATTCTTTAATATGATCTTTGTTGGGTCCTGCAACCAACATGTCAACCACATACAACAACAATATAACAAAATTGTTATCATCAAACCTCTTGAAATAAGCACAAGGGTCTGCATTAAGTCTGTTGTATCCAAGGCACATAATGAAGGAATCAAATCTCTTATACCAACACCTCGGCGCCTGTTTTAGACCGTACAAAGATTTGTTCAACCTGCAAACCAAGTTCTTCTTTTCGTCTTCTTCAAAACCTTCAGGCTGGAGCATGTAAATCTCTTATTCAAGATTTCCATGAAGAAAAGTTGTTTTAACATCTAGCTGCTCTAGATGTAGGTTCAATGTAGCACACATTGCCAAAACTACTCGAAATGTTGTTAGTCAAACCACATGAGAAAAGATTTCATTGAAATCAACACTTTCTTTTTTAGCATATCCTTTTACCACCAGTCTTGCACGATACCTCTCCACTTGATCGTCACAATTTCACTTGATTTTGAAGACCTAATTGTTACCAATTGGTTTCCTTCCTTGTGGTAGTGGCACAAGGTCCCATGTATTATTTTTATGAAGGGCTTCAATTTCTTCTTGCATCACCATCATCCACAGTGAAGCATTTGAGTTGTTTATTGCATCCTGGTATGTTGATGGCTCACCGTCCTCTGTTAAAAAGCAGTATGAAATATTTCATTCTATAACATAATCTGAGTGTCAATTGGGACGTCTTCTCACATGATCTGATTGACGAGTTGTTGGAGCTTCAGAACTCTCTGGTTCTTGTTCATCATGTGCTAGTTCTGCTTCAGAAGAATCTCTTTGTTCAAACTCCTTTTCCACATGTATCTGTATAGTCTCTGACTTTTCAGTGCTATCATCTTCTTCTTTTCTTTGTAGTTTATCTTCTACAAAGATAACATCCCTGCTGATAATCACTTTGCGGGCAGTGGGATCTCACACGCGATACCCCTTTACTCTAACAACATACCCCAAGAATTTGCATTTCCTGGATTTTGGATCCAGCTTTGAGATTTCTTGAGAGTTGTACATCACATACACAATACTTCCAAATACATGAAGGTTTGAATAATCAGCTGGTTTACCAGTCCATATCTCTATTGGGGTCTTCAACTCTATTACAATTGATGGAGCTCGATTTACCAAATAACAGGCTGTATTGACTACTTCTGCCCAGAATGATTTTTCTAGGCCTATAGCCCTCAACATTGCTCTTGTTCTTTCTAACAAGGTTCTGTTCATCCACTCTGCCACTCCATTTTGTTGAGGAGTGTTTGCCACTGTGAATTATCTTTTGATGCATTCTTTTCTGCAAAAGTCATCAAATTCTTCACTTGTGTATTCTCCTTCATTTTCTGTTCTGAAACACTTGATCTTATTTCAGAATCAAGTTAGTTTTTGAAAGTTGAAAACACATCTGACTTTTTTTAATAGGGTACACCCAACATCTCCCGGAGTAATCATCAATAAATGAGACAAAGTATTTTGCTCCGCCTAGGGATGTAATTGGTGCTTTTCATACGTCATAATGAACCAATTCTAGAACACTTTTGCCTCTAGAATTTTACGTGTTGAATTTCAACCGGTGCTGCTTACTTGTTATGCAATGCTCACACAAAGTAAGTGATACATTTGTTAAGCCTGGAAGTAGTTTTTGCTCCACAAGGACTTTCATTCATTGTTCTGACATATGTCCAAGTTTCTGATGCCATATCATTGCAGAATCTGAACTACATGGTGCAACAGAAACTTCTGCTTCTAGCACAGTCTCTCCCTTCATCATGTACAAGTTTGCAGCTATCTTTTTGCCTTTCATCACCACAAGCGCTCCACGGAACACCTTCATGATTCATTTCCGTGTTTCAATCTTGCTTGCATTATTATCCAACAATCCGTTGGATAATAAATTTTTCTTCAAGCCTTTCACGTGCTGCATATCTCGAACAACTTTAATTGTTCCATCATACATCTTCAATTTGATGGTTCCTACGCCAACGATCTCTAAGGCATGATCATTGTAACTATACATAGATCCTCCTGAGACAGGTTCATAATGACGTAACCATTCTCTTCTTGAGGTCATGTGATATGTTACTCCTGAATCAATGAGTCATATATCTGTATACCTTTTTCTTCCTTCCACGGTGGTTGACGCTTCACAACATAGAGCATCTCCATCATCTAAAGTGTTTGCGGTATTGCCTTGTGGATTGGAGTTTTTATTTAGACTCCAACAATCCTTCTTCAAGTGACCCTTCTTTCCATAGTTGTAGCACTTTAGATTCTTTTTGCTTCTCGACTTTGATTTACCATGTTTGTGACTGCTACTTTGGCCACGTTCTGTTGATCTCTCTCTCATCGTTGTCAACGCTTCTGCTTGTTACAGATTTTCTTGTTTGTCTTCCTTTTTCTTGCGCCGATTTTCTTCTTGTAGAACAACAGCTGCAACATCATCGAAGACTAGACTGATGACATTACTGTTTGTCAAGTTGATGATGAGTTGATCATACGAATCCGGTAGACTTTGAAGTGTAAGTTCAACACATTCTTGTTCTCCTATTTTACAACTTAAGGATGTAAGCTGAGAAAATAAAGTGTTCAGTGTGTTTAAGTGCTCCGTCACTGAAGTAGATTTTGGCATCTGGAGAGTGTACAATTTCCTCTTAAGGAAAATTTTATTGTGCAACGATATGGCCTCGTACAATTTGGTGAGATGATCCCATATCTCCTTAGTTGTCTTCTTCTCCTCGATGCTTGACAATACTTCATCTGTTAATGCTAGATGAAAGTTTGCCATAGCATTCCCGTCTATTTCGATCCATTTGTTGTCATCTGTGAAATCTACCGGTCTTTCACTGATAGCTGCTATACAACCGTCTTTCCTCAAGATGACCTTCATCTTCAATTTCCACAATGAGAAATTTCTCCCATTGAATTTTTCAATATCAAATTTCGTTGTCATAGCTTCTAATACGGATAGCTCCCACTATTTTATTATCGTGAATAGTTCTCTGGAACCTTCAAAGAATGGGTAATACCTTCTTACTTTCTTATGTTGGAGGATCCACCTTTTGGTGGCAACCACAAAGACAATAAGTAGATATTACACACTCAAATCTGGCTCGGATACCAATTGTTGCGAAATATGACTATCGGATAGAGAAAAATCGCAACTGATAATTTGAGAAAATAAAATAAAGATAAAAAAGACACAAATTTTACGTGGAAACCCCCTAAATAATATAGGGTAAAAATCACGGGCAACGGTAGAAGAATTTCACTATGAGAAAATAGGAATTACAACTTCTTTCGATCTAACAAAGAGAAAACAATAACAATTCTCTCTTGATAAAAAGGAGAAAACAACTCTAAAGAAAATCTGTAAATTCTCTAGTATTGGGAGAAAGCTAAAATGATTTGGGATGGTTTTGAAGCTAAATGGGTTAGGGTATTTATAGTTGAAGCCTAATGACTAATCTTATAAATACCCTAAAGTACAATGACTAAATTACAATTATACCATTGCCCAAAAAATCAACATTTTCAGCTTCCTTTTGACAATTTTCATTCGGTGGAAATTCTTTCTCAACTTTCGTTGCAAGTTGGGAACCAATTTTCAACAAGTTGTTCGTGTTCGTTCGTCTATTAGGTTACAATTAATCAAACGAACATAAATATACTCTATTTCGTATCATTCCGTTAGTTTACAAGTCTATAAAAGAACATGAAAGAACACCGTTGAAAAGAAACTTGATGTGGTTCTAAGAAAGTTTTAAATGGCCATAATTCAAATATTTCTAATTGTTATTTTGTTGTTGTTTTTATTCTTCTCAAAAATGAATTTGTATAGCTTCCTCCGGTGGAGAAGTGCCCCAAAAGTGGCATCATTCTTAGTCCGAACCGTACGTGAATGTTACGATTGAGGTCAGAAATATTGTACATATTCTGGTTAAACTGGATAATGGATGGAAAGCCAAAACGACATTTTAAATCATCTTCATTTGTGGGAATCGAACCCACGACCACATGGTTAAAAGCCATGCTCTCTACCTACTGAGCTAAGACGGCATCCGATCATCTTGAGCAATTCTTATTCAATTCACGACCGACAAAGAAATTTATTGGGCATGAGATGAGAGGTCTATATTCCAATGCCACAAAAGAAACTGATATTGGGCAAGGCCAATCCTTTTAAAAGCCCATGGGCCCACGCTCTTCCAAGCACACAACTCTGTCTTCGACACTTCCAGAAGACATTGGAAGTTGAAAGCAACAGCCAACTAGCAAGTAATATAGTAAGAAACTCCTCCCCTCCCCCAAAGCTTCCCTCTCATAGCCTAAAGGAACAAACTGGTAAGAAGTCATTCAGAATCCATGTCGGGTTATAACAAGGAGAGACCAAGAACAATCCGGCTTTTCTGCCCTTCAGTATCCAAGCTAGTTCGGTTCGTGGCATGTGATAGCCACAAACTGGACGTCGGCTCCATATCTCGATTGTTCGGCCTAGACCCATCAACGGTAAAGCTCAACGGCCACTTTATAAGCCGAGGGGTTGATCTCGTTTCTTCTTCTGTTACTTGGAGGTCACTGCTTTCTTTCTTCTCTTCTAAGGGCTTGTCAACTGGGACTGATGGTGATCATAAGAGAGCTCTCATTGTTGATGGCAAGCTTTGCAAAGTTGGGATTAAGAGTAAGTTTAGTACTATTAACTTTACCTTTTTGTTTCTTGTTTCTTCTTTGGATCCTTTTTTGAAGAGTGTTTATTATTATTATTATTATTATTATTATTATTATTATTATTATTATGTAGGAGCACATGAACCTCAAGATGATGTTAATTTGAGTGGAGATTCAGCTGGGAATCCTGGAATAAACGATGCTGGAATTACTGCAAAGCGACACCTGAAAGATATTTGCTCGGTTGAAAACAAAAGGTTAAGGGAAAGCAGGTCAGCAGGTAAAATACAGATGAACATTATTAAAAATGACTGAGAATTGGCTATGGGACTTGGTTTTATTCACCTTCTGTCATATGAAAGCAGCTTGTTCATCTTTAACTAAGATTCAGCCCTTGGCATACAGGATCCCATGATGGAGGTGAATGCAGTAATGGGATTGGCTTCAAGAGAAAGAGTTCCATGGAGAATCACAGCTTGCTCAAGAAATTAAAGATTAATGAGACAAACTCAGGTTTGTTCAAACCCTTTACCATTGAACAATCATTTAGATGATCTGTTGATTCCTTGGTTCATTTTCCATTTCAACTGATGCGTTTGGTGCTTCATATTGTAGAATTAAAAGGGAAAGGAAACAATAAAGTTAGCCCTGTTTACAGCACGCCTTTTAAATGCAGTTATTTGAGTGGCAACATGAAGAGGGGGAGGGAAGATGAAATGATTGCAGGTGTACCTAGCAAGAGGATCAGCTCTGGTTGATTCTTTTATGTAACTTGGGGGGTTTGATTCTTGTAAGTTATTTTGTGGAAAAAGATTGTTGATTACATGCCCAATTTGGTGTAAATGGGAAAGTGCTCAAAAGTTTTAAGCAATAAACATGAATTACCTAAACCAGAGAAGTACTTTCTGCAATGAAAATCCATTGAAGGGATACTTGCCGCCTCTAAGCTTTGCAGACAACTTCGATTGTAGCAGACAACCGACCAGTTTTCTTGGCAGCTGCAAGCAGAAAAAAAAAATCAGTCAAATTGAAGCTGCGATATCTAAACCATAACAAGTTGCAACCACAAGAACACTGTTTAACAGGCCATATATAATGTAACCAAACCACATAGAAAAGGGTTTTTGATTGCTGTTTGTGATCTCCTTTTAATTACCTTTCCGACCAATTTATGACAGAAGAAAAGTAAACTACACATAAAAGGTTAGACACAAAAATATAGAAGACTGATGTTAACCACATTCTCGAAATAGCTGATAATATCCTATTCAATGAGATAAGTTCACCTTTGTATTTAAGTCTCCTCAGCAACACGCCTTTTCTGTACATTGAGCAATCATCCAAAGTACAATGCAGACTGCATTCGATTGTGATAACATTGTAAGGCATGCTAAAATCAGTTGTTAAAGGTACAAGTAATACTTCTGTGTAGGACATTACAGGACATTTTTCCTGCATCAAATCAAGCTAATATAAATAAGAAAGATTACAGACTGCTTATATTTAGTTCTTTCAGGAAAAAATGGTTATGTTTAAGAGCAGAAATATCAGGAGGTTAATACCTGAAACTTTGACAACCATGGTGACTTGTTCAATTCCAGAAAATCCATGCTTGCATGGAAGTGGGGAAAGCTAATAATAGCTGATGGTAAGTCCAATCCATGTTTGGGATGTCTATGTTTCAACATTAAGGTGTTAGCCAACTGGTTTTCGTTCGAACTTACAAAACTTTACAGACGATGTCTGAATTCAGATATGGTGCATTTTCAATAATATATATTACAGACACAGATTGCCATTTTAAAGCTAAACTAATTGGACTCCAATGCAGCAAATGAACTCACCAATACTATGTGCTGATATTACATCTTTCCTCTATGAACCCAAATTAACAGTTTTAACAAATCCTTAATAAATTTGCTTCTCAAGTGAAAGAAAATGACCTGTGCTGATTAAATAGAATTTGCAAAACTATATTTTACTAATAGCTAAATAAAGATAATGAAAATCACACCTCATCAAACTCTATAGTTAAAGCATCAGTGTTCACTCTGTAAGGGGGTTTCAGAATTACCCCCATCCCACCAGGAGACATTTTATCTTTGGAAGGTGAAACATGTATCTTCTTAATAATCTCTGAAACAACCCTATGTTGTTGATCAACACACTCGCAGAGAATGGAAATAGACCTTAACATACCAAGGGACAACTTGAAAAACATCGACTTGCAGTTCACAACTTCCATCCTTGGCATTAGTAACACCCAAGACATCCTCAGCGTGTGTAGATTTTAGTGAAATAGCAATGGCACCCCTCTCATTCCCTGTTCCCATCAAGAACCTACTAGCATGTAACGTGCTTTTTGACACAAGAGGTCCTGGGTTCGAGCACCATGTATGCAATATAGAATAGATATGAGCGTTCAATGTCAAATGATTGAGAGTCTTTGAACAGATACTACTTTGTATTCGCCCTATAATAAAGAAAAAAAAAATGGAATGGAAAGTTAAGAGAGCTAAAAGCTCCTTCACCGGTGAGCAGATATCTGACAGACGGAGCATTAAAGCACAACGGCTGGTGTGATAAAATATTAAAAATATATGTAAACTCGACGCAAATTTAATAAAAAATAAATATAATTCTTTTATTTAAATTCTTTATTATTCTATCAATTCTTTATTGTATAAAATTTTAAAAATATATTTCTTCACTAAATTATAATATACCTTTATAAACAAGGGAAGACAGGAATGCCATACATGTACCAATAATTTGTTATATCTTGTATATAAAACAATCTAATTTAGAAAACTATTTGTTCCCTTATTTCATATTTATAAGTGTACATTCATGTATTTACACCTATCTTAATCATATCATGTACGTTCAAAGAAGGAAGTAAGATTTTATGTTAGGGACAACTTATAAAATTTTAGATGCAGAAATAAGTTATCAATAAAAAATGCACAAAAAGTATCTAAAAATATATGATAATTTAAAATTTTTAAAGGAACATCTGTCTCCGTCCAACCTCCTCGACCCATCCATGTGTACTGTTATTAATACTACATTCTTTATGCATACTAGCAGTTTTAGAAGTACAATAGTCTTCGTACATGTATTGGGTTCTAGTACGCTGTAAAGCCTGGTTCTGATATGGGTCAAGTTGGAGGTATTTATCCCCATTCCACCACTGAGTTGAGTTAGAAATGTAGCACACATTTTTGTTAGCAGTGCCCTGGAATTGGCACGCAGTCACATCAAAGCCTTGATAACTAGCAACAAATGGTGCTTTACTCCAATCGATTTTCTTTCCACCCGATGCCCAAGCTTCTCCATTCCATATGCTGCCCTGAACCACCAACTGTTGTGATGGATAACTCACCCCGATGTCTGTGTTGTTCTTGAATACCCGTATGGGTGTATCGTCCACGTAAAACCTGCAAATTCGATCAACAAGAATTACGTCCTTCACCTGATGGTTCCGTTATCCGAACGATTTATCGAGTTGCTCCGAACTTTGAATGATTTATTCGATCGGACTCATGAACACCTCCGTTTTACTTACACTATTTGGTGTTGGTTCCAGAGAATTCCATAGGTATGGAAACCAGAAGTGGGATCAAACCAGAGATGAATCCTTTGCTCTCTGCCTCCGCCGTCATTGGCGAAAACGTTCGTCTGCAGCGTAAAAGGTGGCCCGTCGCTACCTAAAAACTCGAAATCCAGCTCGTCATGGTTTCCTCCTTTGTTATCTATATCCGATGTCAACTGCATGCATACAATATTATTCATCAACCCATCGAAGTTTTCATTGAATAACACACACAAACACTGGTTATAGAGCCAAAGATAACATACATAAAAATCCACAACAACTCCAGAAAAATCCTTCTGGGGTAGCTTCATTTTTATCTGGAAAAACCCCGAAGCATATTCCACTTTCGATTCAAACCCAGCCCCTATGACATGTTGAATAAAAGAAAACATATTATAATACAGTTCTATTACATATATGTATGAATTCAAACGTAATGACATAAATGTGATGTTAATCTAATAAATAATACCTGAAGCTTTATCCATCGATACATCGATTTCAGTTCCCTGATTTACATATTTCACATGATAGTTTCCCCATGTAACGTGATAATTCTTGTCGAAACTAACATTGACGGCTCTGCTTCCACATGCTATAACTGCAACAACTATAATAACAATCAACCTGTCCAACCCCATTACTTTTTTTTATCTAACCCCCAAAATCAATTAATTTCACAAACAAATTTTGTCGTCACATAAGCATATACACATTTTACAAGAAGCAGCTTCTACTATTTTGTAGGAAGCACCTTCAAATGATGTGGCAAATGACAATATAAATGCATTTAATAAAACATGTCTTTAAAAAATTTAATTATGGAGACAAAAAATATAATTTAATTTCATAAATTGTAAAGACCATTAATTTTAGTTTTTATAGACATAACTGGAGTGTTAACATTTGTTTCTTATCAATGTGGGATTCAAGAGCTAAAATGTACCCCTTAATTTTTTTTAAATTATCCCTTTTCTTCACATTAATAATATATCATGGTATATATGGTATTTTGGATTAGAAATAGATATATATGGTATTTTGGATTAGAAATAGGTGTAAAATGTGAAAGAAACAATACAATTGAACTGTTGTGCATATCAGATAAGAACTGTGAGTCACCTATCTCATAAATATTTAATATACTCCCTTTCATGTCCTTGGCTGTTGGGCTGGCTGGCAAGCAAATCTTAAAACTCACGGCTGTTTACAACTAATATGATACAATCGACAGTCATATTAACTAATATCATAAAAATAACCTCAATAATAAAATAAAATATTGTGTTTTTCTCCACAAAAATTTCAGATTTGAACAGTTATATTTATAAGGTATATATTATCAATGACTAAGAAAAATTTAAATGACATTGTAATCACTTCATAATATTATATATATATATATATATATTATAGTTCAGGGATGATTATTAGTCTTAAACTTTACATTATGATTAATTATTAATAATAACATTTGATCTAATTCATTTGTTTACTTTTAATAGTATATCAATTAAAAATTTGTATTGTGATATCACATATGAAGAAATGTTAGAAAAAAAGTATACTCCACATTTCACGTTAATAATGTTGTCATGTAGATAAAATATCGTGATTTTTTTTAAGAATAATTCTAAGTTAATATCTTATCTTCTTGTAACTGAGCGAAACAATGAATTATTAATGAAAAATCACGAGTCTCATCTTACTAACTATTCATTTCCCAAAAGTGAATGTGATATCTTATAACAAAAAGAATAAATATCATTTTAACAATTGTGGTCATGGTAATAAACGTGATCATAATCATAATCATGATCAAGGACGTGGACGAGGTTGTCTTTTAAGACTTTTTAAACTCACTAGAAGCAGAGATTACAAAAATGACAAAAGTGACAAATATAATTAAGAAGCAAAATCTTTCTGTCATCGATATGGAGATACAAATTATTTGACTTATACATATAGTATGTTAAAGCATCTTGTGAATCTTAATCAACAATCATTAAAGGCTAAAGGAAAGACTTATGGAGGTGCTCCCTAGATTTTTTAATGTCGGCATTCTTAGAAACTTCATAAAATGACATGGCAGCAATTAAAAGAAAATGGACATGGAATTTTATTACGCAATGCAAGTTTAAGAAATGTATGGATATGCTAATCACCACATGGATGATGAAGTGGCAATGCTTATTAATTAAGTAATAACGGCAGCAAACATTTGTGAATTAGCAAGCAAATGGCATGTACTACAGATTTTGTCACGGCAAGGAAGCTTATCAACGTGTATGGCAGTAGCAAATTGAGTTGGCAGACGTTTATAAAGTACGTAATTTAGAAGCAATTACAAGGCGGTTTTCTTTACCTATAAATATGTGTAATTAGCATGTATGAATGTAACGTAAGTAGTGAGTGAAAACAAAAACAAGAGTTAGAAAGTGAAGCTTAGCAAATCTTTGAATAGCGGGGTTGTGTTTGTAAACTAGTCGAAGCTAGTGTTCGTATCGTATTTGTATTTTGGTTCATATTAATATGTGTGAGTTATAAAAATTATCTAGTGTCCACCTACGCTTCCAACAAGTGGTATCTAGAGTTTGGTTTGAGTTTAACGTGGTGGAAAAGATGACCAATATGATTCAACCACAAATTTCGAGATTGACAAAGGTGAATTATGACAATTGGAGTATCCAAATGAAGGCGTTACTAGGTTCCCAAGATTGTTGGGATGTCATCGAGGAAGATTACGCCAAACCGGAAAATGCAGCAGCAGAAACACCCTTGTCAAATGAAGAAAAAGGGCACTGAAGGAATCCCACAAGAAAGATAAAAGGGCGTTGTTCTTTATTTTTCAAGGAGTATATGAACCTACATTTGAAAAAAAAAATCGTTGCGAAGACTACAAAACAAGCGTGGGACATTTTGCAAAAAACTCTCCAAGGTACCGAAAAAGCGAAAAAAGTACGCTTACAATCTCTTAGAGCTGAGTTTAAAATGTTGAAAATGAAAAATATGGAAAGTATTGATGACTATGTTAGTTGTATAAAAGTAATAGTAAATGAAATGAAAAGAAATGGTGAATCACTTGACAATGTTAGAGTGATGAAAAAAAATTTGCGGTCATTGATAAGAAAATTCGATTACGTGGTCATGACAATTAAAGAATCAAAAGATTTGTCTCAAATATCGATCAATGAACTTGTGGGTTCACTCCAAGCCCATGAGCAGAAGATGAAACAAAATGAAGATTCTGAAAATTTAGAGCAAGTCTTGCAAAGCAATAGGGGTGGGAATAGGCCAGGCCGGCCTACAGGGGCCTACAACCTAGCCTGGACTGGTCTATTTAATAAAAAAGTTAGGCTCAGACTTTTTTAAAAGCCTATTAAATTAAATAGACCAGACTTAGGCTTATTAAAAAACCTTATAAGTCTGATAGGCCGGCCTATATATATGTATATATACTGTACGCACCAATATTTTACCCAAAAAAATATATTACATAAATTATTTTAAAATGCAAAAAGGCCATACCCTGCTGCCCAAGCACCACCCACGAGCAGATAAAGGTTCAACTCCCCATCCAGCCACCCATGGTCCCACGTGAAGAACACCAACAGCTAATTAATTAAGCTGCATTGGTCTTGCCAATTCCAGCACCCCGAGCAAGACCCACATTGTGCCCATATCTGCCCATGCCTTGCTCTACGAGACCCATGGTCTGGCACCTAGAAAACAACAATATGAGGCAACCATTACAATTCATTGGTAATGTACCAGTAATAATGCATACAAGTGAATGTTTCTCGCATGTATTCCTTAGATTTGAAGCTTTGCATCAGCTTTATTACTTGAAGATTCGGAACATCAATTTCTGGGTGCTTAGCCAAGTTGTAATCTTCTTTGCATAGCAATCACCCTCTGTTTTTACAAAAAAACCCATATTAAAATCCAAATATAATGAAGGAAATTCGAAATGGATATGGGATTTTTTTATTTGATTTAGTTACCTTGGAAGAGGTACTTGGAGGTCTCACGGCGGTTTTTCTCTGGGATAATCTGGAATCAAGAAAGCAAAAACATTATAGTTATTCTCTTGCAAATAATTTTCTCAGAAACCAAACAGAAAACTTGAAAGCGAAAGAAAGTACCATGGCGAAGTAAAATAGAGTACACAACTAATAAAAATTACAGAGCAAACAAAAATCGTATCCTTTTCACTTCAAGCTTTGATAGAGGTAAAACTTCAAAACCTTGCCATTTTTTCTTTCATCTTCTTATTCCTTTAACAAGTTTCATTATGAGTCTTGATTTAGGCATGTTCACGTTGGTTTTTTTTGTTACTTGGTGATATATGATTTCTATCAATACTTTTTTACATGCCATTATAACTATTATATTTAGATAGCTTTTTCATTACAGATGCAATGTAGTTTTGGGACATCAATTTTAATGGTTCCTCTTGTTGTTGTCCTATGTTGTGTCATGTTTTAATTCATATTTTTACTATGTATAGTAGATGCCTTCTCCCTTGGAAATTAGTGAACCAATAGCATTCACTCATACAAATGATAATGAGGTGAATGTACAAGTTCCTGCAGATTTAACTCAAGTAGAAGCTAACAATCAAGAAAATGAACATGAAGAACCAGTTGTCGGGAGAAAGAGGAAAAGAACTTCAGTTGTTTGGAATGATTTTGATGAAATGGAAATCTCCCCTGGGGTGAAATGGTGTTACTATTAATTTTATTGGTATATATTTTATGTATCAGTTCTGTTCAAATAGAATGGAGATGTAGGCTTTATTTTTTGTTTGTAATAGTTAATATATTGGTTTGATAGACTTGGATGATGCTACCTCAAGTATGAGGTTCTCTTTTGTTTTGCATTATTTTATATCATCTGGTGGTTTCAGTTTATATTATTAATATATTTGTAGGACTACCAACTAAATTGACGTTAGATTAAAAATTAAGCCAAGTTATATATTAAGGCCTTGTTTAGCCTATTATAGAAGGCGTGCAACTTTTTTTTGGTAAAAACAACTATCAAAGGAATATTAAAGGTTTAATATGAAGAAGGCTTTTAAAAAGGCTATCATGCCAGGCCGAGTCAAAATAAAAGCCTTTGATAGGCTATAGGCCAGGCTCAGGCCTAAAAAATTCATCGTAGGCTAGGCTTAGGCCTTTTAAAGCATGGCCTATTCCCACCCCTACAAAGCAAGATGAATGTCAACGATGGTGAAGCAGTAGAAACTACATACGAGGTCGAGGAAATCGTGGTAGTTACTATTGGGATAAACGATGAAGCTCAATCGATCAACCGAATATTGCCAAGAGGGGGTGAATTAGCTTTTCGAGTTTAGGGAGTAAGGAGTATTAAGAGATAGACAATTTGCATAAGGATTTATAGTGGTTTGACTTCTCAACCAAGTCTGCATTCACTACCTTAGCTCCTCACTAAGGATTTTCTAACAAATTCACTAATTTGTTCTTTCTTTTTGCAGGATAAAGAGATAACCTTTACAACTCCCTAGATTTTCAAAGGCTTAGCCAAAACTAATCCCTTTACAAAAGGAATAAAATGTAAACAAGAAAACCTCTCTAAGGTAGGGTATGTACAAGAAAATTAAGCTAATAAAAATAAG